TTGCAGCCCGAGTGCGATATTCTTTCATCGGCGGGCGCGGCCAGGCGCTTTCTCCATGGCCGCGCCCCAGCCCCGCCATGGGCTTGGGCCCAGAAAGAAACCTAGAGATTTTGCTCAGAGCTGGCACTGCACGAGCCCCCACGTAGGAAAGCGGGCCGCGATGTTATACAACCCCTCCTCGGGCGCGCGGTTTCCGAGCAGTGCGACGACCACCGTGCGGAGGTTCAACCGCAGGCCCGACACCGCTGCGAACGTGCTGAAGAGGGGAAGCGGCCAAGGGGAGCGCCTCGTCATCCGCGTACCAGAAAACACAGTTACGAGGACACCCGCGTAAGCCCGCACTGTTGCCGAAGGTCGTGTCCTGCCTAACCTCCGCAGCAACGGATCGACTACAACGGCAACACAACAATGGCGATAAGCGATAGCGGGCAGCCCTGCCTGATACCAGCCTGAATCCGGAAGCCTTGATGCAATTGCCCTCTGGCGGCGATCTTGCAGCCGTACCCCCCGTGCGGGCCCTCAACAAATGAGCGCACCGACGGCGGCAGACCCATTTGGCGAAAGGCGCGCGAAAAACTCGTGCGCGAGCGACGGGCCGCGAGCCCACGGGAACGCCGCGATGGGAAACCGCGGCTGGCCCCTTGAACTGCAGGGAAAGCTCACCCATGGCGGCGTCCACGTCGACAAACATTTTCAACGTCGAACGCCCCGCCCAAAAGCAGTGCTGCATGTTACAGATTGCGCTGTCCAGGAGGGTCTCGTTCCGCAACCTGAGGGCGCTTGCAAACAAAAGCTTGTCCTTGTGCACGATGCTGGGCGGCATCACGTGCTGCGCCCTGGTGTACGCCACTCCCGCGGACGAGATCCTGGGCTCTCCTTTGACAGGAAGACCATAGTAGCTTCATTGGACGCGGAATGTCCATCTGCGTCGAGCGGGGAAGCAGCGCCCAGCGCGGCAGTGCCAGCATCGGATTCCAGAAGCTGCGCGACCTCCAACAACGCATTCTTTGCCAGCGGGCCAAGGCGGCGCCAAGCAGCGTACGTGATGCCGTTAGGGCCAGCGCCTGGCTGCAAAGTGAGCTCCAGGGCCCGCTCGATGTCCTCCTTGCGGACGCGTCAGACCTCCGGGCGTGCCAGAAGAGGGCGCAGCGCCGTCGCCAGACCATCTGGCGCCTCCAAGGTAGGGCGACGAAATCTACACGTATCCACTGCTCCCTGGCCAGTCCCATCCTGAATCCAGCAGCTGTGCGTACGCCACGCCCCGCTGGCTTGGCCAGGACGGCGTACACACAGCTCCTGAGTTCAGGATAGGCCTGCCCTTGGAGCAGTGGATGTGTATAGATTTCGTCGCCCGAGAAGTCTCCCCTGACCCAGTGCTCGATAACCTCCGGCCGCAGCTGGCGGGGAGCGAAGACCTCGCCCCAAAGCCGCCGGAATATTCGGGCCACCTCTGCGGGGTCTGCGTGCACCGACCCGTCGACGTCCTCGGATACTGTCACGGCCGCAGCCCGGCCGGGAGCAAGGCGGCGAACCCGCTGCAGAGTCGATGACCGACGCCGCCAGCTGAGACCTCGGGATCCAACTCCGGCAGAGCAGCGCGCAAGTCTCCCAGGTCATCCCGCAACGCCCGCTTCGCGAGCTCTTATACATTCAACGCCAACGGAAACAATACGAGACACCATCTTCTAGAAATCGGAAAACGATTTCCATAAACCAAACAGGATTTCCGAAACAGAACATTAAACGGACATTCTAGACTTGTAAAACTGCTGTCTACAAGCCGCAAGGATTCATAGAAACGGACCCCGAGACCGATCAGTAAGGAAAAATTGTGTGCCCTCCTCGGGGTCTGCGGGACACCTCCTTCAGAACCGCCTGCTGGAAATGGCGGGTATGCTGAACCTCGCAAATAAGCGAACTTAAACATCATCGTCAAGGCAAGCTGCAGGCGAACAGGATGAGCCCTCGGTGTCAGGCGATAACTCTATCGAGGGGTCCAAGCAGACCCTGGTCCCCCCCGAGAGGCGCCGAGAAGGCCTTCGGAACCCGAGTAGACGACGTACGAGGAACCACAAAGCCGCCCTGACGCCCTTCGACAGCCGCCAACTCGGGAGAAGAGCGAAGCTCGACACTGACAAGCCTCGGCTCACAGATGGACTGGTGCGCGCGAAATTGATACAGCCGCGAATTCTGGCTGGAATGTGTATGTGCGCATGCTGTCGCTTGCAAACGGCCGCGTGAGCGCCACGTGCAACAATGTCGTGAAGGCTACGGATATGATTCGCTCCGACTTGCTTCCTGCTGCCTGCTGCTGCTGTGTGAAGAATGCTGTCTCCTGCTGCTGGTCTAACTTCTTGGTACAGTTTGATGTTTTGACTTGGTGCTGTGCTGATTGTTGCTTTTCGCTATGATGCTGCGGACGCTGAAGCGGGCGGATGGTATCAGCACTCTTCTGGGATCTGGGGTTTCGGACTCCCCCCGCATTGACGCGTAGCTGGTTTGCCTCACAGGGTCTTCGACGCCACGCACGGCGAGGTCCAGGAGCGAGAGGCCGGGGAAAGAGCAAATTAATTGACAACGGGCCCCCGATCGAGCACTACTTGCTCTGATTTGTGGTCATGAAGCAATGTCTGGCCACAAGCGTGTGATGAGGCGGGGAGAACAACGAGGGGAAGCGCCCAAGGGGGGCTTTTGAGAACGCACAAGGCGCTGTCAGAGAAATGTCAGGGCAAATCTTTGTGCAATATTGCTTGCATGGCTTCGGTGGGCCTCCGAGAACCGATCGGGATTACTATCATGCGTGCGATGGACACTATGCGCGAACATGGATTGCAGAATTTCACAGAGAGGAGGGGGGAGGCGATACGCAGGACGCCTCCCTGTATGGTTTGTGCCCCATGCAGCCACATGGACGAATCCCTCCCCCACCACTCCCTTCGGAACCCTCGGGTCCTCTACTCCGACCCTATCTGGGAGGCCTAGAGCCAATTGAAACAACGGCAGCTCTCCAGCCTGGCACAAAATCTTTCAGAATCCGTTCTCCGTCCCCTCCAATGGGCCAGTCTGACCTGTTGTTGGAAACGAGCTGCCCAGAAATCTCCGACGCGAAGACAACGTCGTCGGCCGGCCTGGATGCACCACGAAGTCGTCTCTGGCGTGCCCGAAGGTGTTGCCCGTCCTTTCCTTTCGCGGAGGGGGCGCATGGGTTGGGAGCGGAGGTTGACAAAGATCTAGACTTTCACACGTTAACAAACCTTTCTTGGCCTCCGGGAGGCTTCATGGCGCCACGGCTGGGTCCGCCTGGAACTTCTGGTCTAAATGTACCCACCCCTGGGACCCAGACCTCCGACGGCACTATTTCCGTTTATCTGGGCGCTTTTCCTCAATATCGGCTTCTGGGGGCCGTCATGGGGCACTGGAACCATCGCAACTAGATCAGCGAGGGTACGGGGTCCCGCATTGAAGAAAACAGATCGTCGGATGTCTGGGAAGGGACGCATCAGTTGGAAGCGGACTTCCCAAGCTATGTGCTGCAGTTGTTTCGGAGCAAGTTGCGCTGATGGCACCGAAGGTGCCCCTCGATCCGAGGGCTCGCTAGCAGTTCCAGCGGGGCCTGCCAAACCCAGCAGCCAGCAGTAGCCAATGAAGGTTGAAATTGTGAGACTGCCGATCACAAGTTGCGCACGACCCGACACAAGTCGAAGAGGGCACGGGCTTGCCGTACACTGGCCCCAGACCAATCAACATCGAATCCGGATATCGGGTCGAATCGGACATGTGATAAGTGCGTCGGCGCGAGACGTGTGTCGGCACGGAGTTGAAATCGAATCGGATCGGCTGCGCCATGCGAACATCGGGGCCGCATGGGGTAATCGGAATATCGGAACCGGATCGGGCGGGCCAGAATCGGTATCGAATCGGATCGGTCGGAGCGAGATTGACGCTGCAAAGAGCGCACACCTCCAAACCGCTCGGACCGAGCAGGCGACACCTGGACGTTGCAGAGCTGTCCGGTGAGTCTGGGTGCGCTCTGTTAGTCTCATCATTACAATTTCATCTCAACTGTGCCCGAAGTAGACATGCTCATCTCGACACCACCATCACAATCACCATCACCATCACCATCCCCAGCATGATCATCATCAACCTCATCATAATCATCATCATCATCAGCTTCATCATGACCATTCGCATCATCATCATCCCCACCCTCAGCAACACCGTCGCCATCAGCATCGGCATCGGCATCAGCACCACGACCACCACCACCACCATCGTCATCATAACCACCCGCATCATCTTCATCTTCATCTTCAGCATTATCATCATCTTCATCGTCGTCATTCTGATCAGCAGTATCACCATCGTCACCATCATCACCATCACCATCACCATCACCATCACCATCACCATCACCATCACCATCACCATCATCATCAACATCATCATCATCATCATCATCATCATCATCATCATCATCATCATCATCATCACAACCGCCACCACCCGCCACCACCATCGCGGCTCAGGGGGCTGCGGGGCATGGGCAAGGCAGGGCAGCGGGAGGCCCTCATGGCAGGCGTTCCCGCGTGCATCGGCTGGAGGGGGAGGAACATACGGTCCGAAACTTTTGCTTCCCGTGTCGCGGCGGCGGCCCCCGGCGAGCCGCCGTGCCCTCCAAGCGGATAGCGTGCCGCTCCGCTCCGCGGGGAGGGGTGCTGGAAAGGCTCGGGTCGTCGACGCTCGGGGGCCGGGACGTGACTGGCGTGTCGCGCCGAAACATGGCAGGCCCAGACTGGCTGCGTCACACGCGAAGTCGGAACTCCTGACCGTACTGACGGAGAGAAGACGGCACGGACGTAAAAATGCGGCGGTGCACACGGATTTCTCAGGCTGGCGCTGGACCCACCCTCTCCTGGCGCGCGGAGCGCGCCAGGCTTCGGCGCCAGAGGCGGGGTCCAGGGGGGCGGGTCCAGCGCCAACCCAGGAATTCCGCGCAAGCCTCTGAAAGTTTGTGCGAATGCGGCTGCGTGCTCTTGGAATTGAAGTTGTTTCTGATCGATGCGCGAAACATGTATGCATAACTACAAGTCACCACTCAACAATTCATATCACCAGCGAGTTGGAATTCCCGGCGCCCACGGACAATTGACAACAAATGCTACTATAGTTCGAACATCTTCTGCACATCTATACAACCACTGAGCGGCATATGCAGCGGGAACCATATGATGTGTACCGTCCTGGTTCCTCGCTGCCTTCACTTCGGGTCTTTTACACCTGTGCTTCCCGCGAGGTAGTTGAAACCGTCGCACTTTTGTACCAGCTGTGACTTGACAGGGTTCCCATCCTGCTTGAACTCCCCCCACAACTTAAAGTGAGGCATCTCCCTGTGCGCGGCAAGTGCATCGGCATCCTTGTACACCTCGAACAGGGTGAACTTGTTCTTGTCCACCTGGTCGCGCAGCAAGTCAAACCGCAGGCAACCGGGCTCGGTCCGCGACCCCTCAAGATCCTTGGTCATCACGCTGATGAAGTCATCCACCCGCTCTGGCTCGATCTCCAGCTGGACGACGAGGCAAATCGGCTCTGGCTTGACTGGCTTGCGGACCCTGGGGGCCTTCACCTTTGTCCACTTGGCCTCGGCCTTGGCCTTCGGCTCGGCCTTGGCCTTGGCTTTGGTCTTCGCCTTTGTCTTCGCCTTGGCCTTGGCCTCTGGTTCGGCCTCGGCCTCGGCTTTGGCCTTGGACTTTGCCTTCGACTTCGCCCTTGGCGCGGGCTTGCACGACTCCCAATAGGCTTCGACCTCCTTCTTCTTGTACTTCCCGGCGTAGAACTTACTGAGCTCGTCCCACGTGTACGCGATGCCGTCCTCAGGGTCCACGCGCTTCTCCGACATCCCGAACAAAAAAGAGCACGGAACGGCAAGGTCTGACCACGCGCGCGGTAGGGACGGGCTGCGGGATGTGGCAAGCCAGCAGCCTGTCAGGAGCAGAGGCTGAAAAGGCTTGGGCCCAAAAATGATCAGCGGGAGGAGGGAACGGCAGAAGGCTTGCGGTCGTCAAAACTCCCCTGGGTCACTGAGGCGAGCTCCCTTCGATGGTTCCCCTCACAAGAACTCTCCGAAAAGTCCTTCCGTGCTCCCGTGCCCCGTGCGCAAATGCAGCGACAGATCTACACAAGACAAGGGGTCCAGAGCCCTGCTGGAGCCGACGTTCCTCGACATGTGGGCCCCTCTGAACTCCAGCTCCCAGATACCAGGACTCCTTCAGGCCCTCTAGACTCTACAACTTCAGGCGTCGGGGGTCCAGCTTAAAATCTGCCTCCTCATCCTCCACCTGCCGACCTCCCCCCTTCTCTCTCCAGTCTCCCTTCTCCCTCCTCCTTCTGCTCTTGCCGCCTCTTCCAACTCCTCCTCATCCCTCGACGTCACGCAGCTGCGCGATATAGCAGAATGGGGGTTCGGAGCACCAGTCCGATCGTCGCACCTCTCCGCCTTCGCCCCCTCCTCCTCCTCCTCCTCCTCCTCCTCCTCCTCCTCCTCCTCCTCTTCTTCCTCCTCCTCCTCCTCCTCCTCCTCCTCCTGCCCCTCTTCCTCCTTGCTCCTGCTCCTCCTTCTCCCGTACCTCCTCCTCTTGCTGCTCATCATCCCTCCCCGGGCTTCCGCTCCTTCTCCTCCTCCTCCTCCTCCTCTCTTCCTCCGCCTCCTTCTCCTCCTCCTCCTCCTCCTCCTCCCTCACCCTCCTCTTTCTCTCCATGTTGGACAAGAAGCCCTGGTTCCGCATCGACAGGAGTTCTGCCATCCCCAGTTTGGACATGCCAGCAAGAGTTCCCAGCGGACATGCGCCACGACATGGCCCCATGATCATACGGTCTCCCAGGGCATCACATAGCCTGCCAAAGCTTCCCAGGTCTTCCAGACGTCCCCAGACATGCTCCAAGATGGCCCCTGATGAGGCTCCAGAAGGGCACTCGCAGTGCCACCAGATAGCCCCAAGGCAGTCCTAGGATTTCCCGTAGGGTACACCATTGCACACTGCCTTGAGAGTGCCTCGAGCAATGTGTCCAGCCAGTATGCCACCTAGCCACAAGTCAAACATGGGACTGGCGACAACGAGCGAGCCCGTGTAGACTCGACTGGCACGTGCGATATGAACAGAACGTCGAAACTTATACCGCAATATTCGCAAGACTACACACGCGCCAAACATGCCCACGCATTTACAAACGATTATGATAACAAATGAGAACAGCGTGGCCGCAATGCTCTTGCGAAATCTGGGTCGGAAACTGGGTAAACTTGCACACCTAGTACAAACGCGCTGATGGTTTGGAGCGGGTTCCTGTTGCTTGACTGTACGATCCCGAAGACTGTCATGCCATCACGGCCATGGTAGTGCGGACCGCAAGATTGTATGCGTAGACAAATGGACGTCCCCAAGCCTCCTGACTAGGTACCAAGGTCTGCGTGGAACGCGTATGCGGCATGATCGACTGCATCTGCACACACTTCCTTAAGCATTGCACGGGCACGTGCCTTACACAGGGAGGGACGCATGTGCACACACGCTGCACACACGCATAATGTTGAGCGGACTGTGCGCCAACTAGTGTGAACAACATGAGCTCGGAAGGGCGTCAGAACATGACGCATGAACTTGCGCGAAACTACGGTGGGGGCATTGGGTGAGGAAGCATTGAGTAAGGAATCCAGGTTCTAGAAGCCATTGGAACTCCAATCGCGGATTGGCAATGGATATCACCGCCGCCCTCATCAGATAAGGAACCCTCTAGGGTCTGAAGCATCCTGGGCACGTTCCTCAACCAAAGCCTCCACCGTATCCCCTTCTCTGGGCATGCAGTCCGCATACAGCTTCGTGAACACCTCAATGGCCTTGTTCTTGCACTTGCCGAATTTCTCTACCTGCGCAGAGAGATCAAACACTCGGGCAGTGACGTTCATGCAAACGGCGACCCACCCTCCGCGCTCTCCTCCGCCTCCTCCTCGGCACCTGGCACCTCGTGGCTCGAGAGAGCCCGTCTGAACACGGCATCCCCGCTTCCTCCTCCGCCTTCTCCGTCCTCCTCCGTCCCCTCATCTTTCTCCAACTCCGCCTGAGCAGTCATCGGAGGTGGACGTGCTATGCTGTCGCATCTCATGCGACTGTTCAGCGACTGGAAAGCGCAAGCAAAATAAGAGTCGAAAGCACGAAGACTGGGATTAGAGGCGTAGTCTACTGAAACGGGTCCAAGCCGCAAACCCCGACCCTCCTGTCCCCTCAGGGCTTTTCAAGCAACAGGGGCATCCATGAACGCAGATCAAAACAGCACTGGGTAGGCCAAAATCGCTGGCGTGGGCGATACCGAGGCCGCCTTCTTGGCGCCTGGCGTGAAAACCCGCGGCGACTCCCTGACCGTGCGGCCACCGTGCAGTCGGACGCCATGTGCAGGGGGCACCTCCTCCCCCGCTCCCCCACTATTCATTTCTCCTCCTCCTGCTCCCTTCTCCTCGTCGACGTCGGCTTTTCCCAGAGCCGGTTTTCTCAGAAACGGCCCAGGAAGCTGTGCCCGCTGTTGCTCTCTTCACTAACCTTCGGCCCAAACTTTAGAGATGGCTCTTACTGAGAGGCAAGGGTGAGGGAGGAGGGGGGAGGAGGAAGATCGATGACTTTGGACTCGTTTGACGTGCCGTTTGCCTCTGGATGCCTCTAGGGACCTCTGGAGACCTCCCCTATCACTCCTCCCTTGCCTCCTCCTCCTCGTCGCGCGAGGGGGAACACTGTTCTGGAATCGGTGACGCACTGCCGAAAGATCGGCGACGCGTTCTCTAGAGGCCCCCGGGATGCTCCCGAGAGTCATCCGGGAGGGAGACACGACATGAGGCCCCCGGGGGGGGAGCCTGACGCACACATCGGGCGTGAGGGTCCGGCGTCCGGCGCTCCTTGGGAGCGGTGCGGCCCAAGTTGGTATCACTTGAGCGTCACTTGAATCAAACAGCCTGCAGCCGAGAGGGAAGCCTCCCAGGGAGCTCCCGAGGGGCACCCCGAGAAACCCCGACGGGCATCCAAGACGCCCCTGTCACCAGAGTCCTGGCAGGGTGGAGGGATCGGCCGAAAGCCGGTGGATCCGCCGCCCTTTTTGTTGATTCATCACGGGGGTGCCCTGCGTGCTGAGGTTCTGGTGGTTGCTGGTGCTTTTTCAAACTCCCCCCTGGGGCTTCGGCCCAGGGCGCCAACCACCTGGAGAGCTCCTCAAAATGCGGTCTCCTGTCGGCTTCTCCGCTCAAGGAGCCTCCGGGACGGCCAAGATGGCCTCCCAGACGAGCAGGATGGTTCCAAAAGAGCCCAAGATAGCCCCATGGATGGCCTCCAAGGTGCCTCCAGGACCGCCCAGGTGGCCCCAGAGAGCCCCAGGTGTCAAAGAAGCACCCCAAAAGGCCCCCCAAGACGGCCCAGAGGCCTCCAAGAGGTCTCCAGGCCCGCAGTGGCTAAGTTCAGTGATTTCCCTTCGGTGTTTGACAGGCGTTCGCAGTTGCTTCAACATGGCCTTCCGACGGCCCAAGACGGCCCCAGAGGCCCCCAAGGCGGCCCAAGAGGCCTCCGAGATGGCTCCACGACGGCCCAGGAAGCCCCAAAGCGGGCCCAATACGGCCCCAAGACGCCCCAAGAGGCGCCCAAGAAGCCCGAGATGGCCTCCAAGACGGCTCTTCAGCGCTTCATGAGGGTCCACATGCGGCAGAATGAATATCTCCAAGACGGCTCAAGACGCAGCAAAGACGGCCTAAGTTGGCCTCCAGATCGCCCAAGAGGCCTCCAAAAGGTCCGTCAGGAAGGCCTGAAGAAGCCAACATCATTCCCTCGTTCCCTCCCTGGGCTTTAGAGCGTTTTGAATGGCTTGTTGTATGAATGTGACAATGCTCTGCTTTATGCTTGCCTTCCGACGGCCCAAGGCGACCCAAAAGGTCTCCAAGATCGCCCTGAGATCACCCAAGAGGCCTCTAAGATGGCCCCGTGACGGCCCAAGAGCCCCCCCAAGACGGCCCCAAGAGGGTCCACAGACTGTCCAAGAAATCCAAAGACGCTCACACAGTGTCTTCCAATACGGCCAAGATGGGCCCAAGAGAGCCGAAGATAGCCGCAAGCTGCCTCCAAGACGACCCACGATGCAGCCCAGAAGGGGCCTAAGATGGCATCAAACTGGCCGAAGACTGCTCAAGCGGCCTCCAAGAGGTCCTCCAAGAAGGCCCCGAAGGGCCAAACTCTATGATTGCCCCCGGGTTTGACATATTCTAGCATTTTCTCATTTCAGCTTTCATACGGCCCACGACAGCACCAAAGGACACCAAGATGGCCCCAACAGTGCCCAAAAGGTCTCCAAGATGCCCCCCTTACGACCAGAGATGCCCCCACGACGACCCCAAGAAGGCCCTAAGACGGCCCAGGAGACCGTCAAGACATCCAAAGTGGTCTCCAAGACGGCCCTCGAACGCTTCAAGAGGGCCCTAAGCCGGCCAGGAGAGGCCTGCAAGACGGCTTCCGACGACGTCAGACGGGCCAGGAACGCCCTCAGATGGCAAGAGAACCTCTCAAGGAACCTCCAAAGGCCCCAAAGAGGCCCAATGAAGCCCAAAGAGGCCTCCCAGAGGCTCCCAGGAGGCCACATGAGTGCCCCAACGCAAGAGGCTTCCAAGAGGCCTCTCTCCTCCTCCTCCTCCTCCTCCTCCTGCTCCTCCTCCTCCTCCTCCTCCTCCTCCTGCTCCTGCTCCTGCTCCTCCTCCTCCTCCTCCTCCTCCTCCTCCTCCTCCTGCTCCTCCTCCTCCTCCTCCTCCTCCTCCTCCTCCACCCCCTTTGTCCTCCCTCTCCTCCTCTTTTCCGTTCTCCCTTTGGTTTTCCCCGCAGTGTTTTCACAACGGCTGGTGGAACACATGATCCAATAGATCGGTCGAGCTCTGGCCACAACGCTCGGCCACATAGGCTCTTTCAAAGGCAGGGGGCGGCGGGGATTCGCCGTAGGCGTCTTCGATACTCGTAACATGATCAGACTACGCCTACTATGCAGATGGAGAAAGGCCTCCAGAAGTCGCCGGCAGACCACGGGTCGCCGGCAGACGACGAGGCGTAAACATAACCAGCTCGGGATGAGAAGCCCGGCCCCGGGGAAGGAGTCTAGAGCTCCAGGGGCCCACGTCACGAGAAATCACGGCGTCGGAACGGGGGGGGTAACCGCCGAAGCCTGGCGAGAGAGGGCGCGCACTCCCCCCTCCTTCCCGGTCCTGGACTCTTTCTGGGGCGAAGTGGAGGCCAATCGCGAGGATGCAGGGCGGGGATGCGAGGGCCTTGGTCGTTCGCGTTGCAGCACCTGGCCAGTGAAACTGGCAGGCCGAGGCTGGAGAGAACAGAAGCACTTCGAACTATCCTTGGCAGAGCACCCACGGTCAGGATATTTTGCGTGGCGTGTCGCAGCAACCGCCCCTGCGACCCGCCTTGCCCTGCAAGCTGATAGCGCGTCGCTCCTTTCCGCAGGGCGGGAGGCAGGGAAAAGATGGGGACGTTGACGCATGGGTGGGCCATCGTTCGCGCGTCGCGCCGAAGCGTGGTGAGCCAGAACCGGCAGCGCGACACGCTAGCCAAACGCTTTCGGCCGTAATCCGTTTTGGCGGCCGCATCTGTGATAAACCTTCATGACGACCTCCCCTTTCCCTTCACCCCCTCCTTTCCTCTCCCGTATGGGTGCCTTGGTGCCGCCCTGGTTGACCCCGATGCGGCCCCATTTCCGGAAGATCCAGTACTCGAGGTCGCTGGTGGCGTTTTGACAGGTTCTGCGCTGTCACCACCCTTCAGAAAATGCACTCTGCTCATGCCTAAGTCTGCACTGTTCCAGCTCTCCTCATATCAGCATGTCTCCTCGCATCAAAATGGATGCACAGTCTACGCCCGGAATCGTGGACATCACAACTGAGAATCGTCAATTGATAGGTCACCTGGTTGCCTCTTGCGCCGTCTCTAACAGGGCTCCTGGGTTATCCCCCTTTTCTTCCTCACCTCCGTGCTCCTCACCCTTGCGTCGCCTAGAATCCCCCCTCCTCCGTGCCATGTCCTCAGTATTGATCGGCCCATCTGTCTCCTGCCCTCTTCGCCCTCCTTCTCTTCCCCCTCCTGCGAGTTTTGTTGCTGCTGCTGCCCCAGCCTTTCCCCGATGAGTAACCTGCCCGCGTCGCGCCGACATGCGTGCCGGCAGGGCGGGCCAGGCGTTCCGCACGAGACCTCCGCGCAACTCGTGACACACTGCGGTGCGAGCTCGCCAGTTTTCTCGGACGGAGGGCGGGTCGTTTTGAAAATGCGGCGCTCGCTTCAGCGCCGCGCACGCTCCTCGCTCCACAGAAACAAGAGAGCTGAATGTGGCTCTCGCCCCAGCACCGCGCACATTCGTCCACACACATGTGCGGGAGCCTGACGGATGCATGGCGGGTCGTTTTCAAGATCTGGTTCTCCCGTCAGCGCCGCGCACAATCATTTTCAACAGTTGCAAGAATTGCGCAGGTGCAGGGCGGGTCGTTTTCAAAATGTGGCTGTCGCCTTTGCGCCGCGAACCTTCGGCGTACAAAAGACAAGTGTCTCTAATTCCATGGATGAGAGCGGCGGGCCGTTTTCAAAATGTAGTTCTCGCCTTAGCACCGCGCCCGTTCATTCTAAGACTCTGCAGCCCGTTCAAGGATTCTTATGGCTAACGTCTCAGAAAGGGCGTTTCGGCACGATTGTGGACTGTCAGGGCGCAACATTTACGTTGATTCGTGGGTTCGAAATCCCAGGAACGGCGTTCTGGCACGATTCAGGATCGTGAGGGCGCATCAGTAATGGTTCATGTCAGCGCTGGAGTCCTAAGAATGGTGTTCTGACGCAGTTCAAGATCTTCAAAAAGGTTGCCTTCCAGCGGGGCGCTTTCCTCTATCAAATTGAATCCTTGTAGAGGGCTGCGCAGAGGACTTTGAAGGACGCTTCATTGCAATATCGTTGATGGGTCTTGGGTTTGAACGTGTCCTCCTCCCCTCCTCTCCCGTCCTCCTCGCCCATCCTCGCCCTGTCTTCCTCCTCTTCCTCCTCCTCCTCCTCCTCTTCCTCCTCCCCCTTCCCCCTCCTCCTTCTCCTCCTCCTCCTCCTCCTCCTCCTCCTCCTCCTCCTCCTCCTCCTCCCCCTTCCCCCTCCTCCTTCTCCTCCTCCTCCTCCTCGTCCTCCTCCTCCTCGTCCTCGAGTGGCGCCGCTGGTCTGTGCGCACTTACCGCCGTCGCCCCTCCCTGAGCTCCTCCACGAATGTGGCGACCTGGTCGGTTTATCACCGCGCCCCGGCAGCCCAGCGGCCGTGCCCTGCCAGCGCAGCCCGGCCAGCGAAATTGCCGGCCAGCTCGGGCACCAGCGCGGCGCGCGCTGCGAGCTCGCGCTCCTGGCCGAACGCGCTTCGCAGCTGGCGCGCGGTGGCGCGGTGGAGTGCGACGCCCTGCCCCGCGCCGGCGCCCGACCGCGGCCGCTTCGGCCCTGGGGCCGTCGCCCACGCCCCGCGCGCGGCCCTGCCCGGCCGGCTGGCCGTCTCGTGTGCCAGCGGCAGGACGGGCCAGGGGGCCCGTCGCCCTGGGCACTGGCGGCACTCTTCCGCATCCCCCTCCGCGGCCAGGGCGCCGTCGGCGTCTGCGGTCGCGGCCAGGGCGCGCGCGTCCCCCAGAAAGCCGTAGCCGACAGCCACGTCCGCCAGCATCTGGGGGCAGTCCCCGGACTGCGCCTCGAGGTCGAGCAGCGTCTCCTCGCGCCCAGCCTCGAGCGGCGCGCCGCAGGCGATGCGTGTATCTCCGAGCGGGGCGTCCGCGAAGCCGCGCATCGCCTGCGGCGCGCCGAAGAGCGCCACCGAGAGGGGCACCCTGGGCCAGCCTCAAGTCGAGCCTGTCCCCCTACAGGGGGAGCTTCGATGATTTTTTTTTGTTATATAAAAAAAAACATTCCTCCTGTAAAGGCTAGGGACAGGCCCGACTTAAGGCCAGCCAGTCGGCAAGGCGCCCAGCGGCCTCGGCGGGGGGGCCGGGCAAATTCACATCAAACTTTCCATTGCCACAACTAACTCCTGGAAATTGCCGTCAGCGTACACACCTGCAGCGACCCGAAAACTGCCACCCGACGATCTCCTCCACGCTGATCCCTTCCAGCCTCCCGAAGATCGCCTTCAGCCTGCACTCCGCCTTCGCACGGACGACCTCCCCCACGACTCGACGGTCTCTTCCAGCGACTCGTAGAGCTGCTCCAGCTTCGTCGCCCAGAAAAAAACGCCCTCGCGACGATCTCCGCCGGCGACTCGCAAGGCTGCTCCAGCGTGACCTCCATCCTCCTCCTGGTCGTCCTTCGGCTCGGCGGTGAACCCTACAATGTCCGACACCTCAGCCCTCAGCGGGTCCCCGGTCCAAGATGAAGCGCTTCGCGCCGATCAAACTGGCCTTGACGAGCTCCTTCACAACAAGGTCGCCCAGCGATGAAAAAGTGGACCTCCAGGGCGGCGCCGTTTGCATGGAACACCGCCGACGGCCCCACCACGGGCACGCTCATCCCAGGGCTCCGCCCACAGCCCGGCCATGGCTCGCTGCAGACTGGCCGCTCTAAAATGCGCCTGCAGCAGCTGCGGGGGCCTCCGCCCACCAGAGCCTTGAGCTAAAATGGTTTGAGTCAAAATGGTTTGAGCCACGTTGGCTACGGAGGGTGGATGAGGAAACGAGGAGGAGAAGGAGGAGGAGGATGACCAAACCCAAGACGCATCAACGATGTTGAAGGAAGCCCTCTCTCCAAGTTCCCTCTTCAGATGTCCCCACAACGATTGATCGTCATTGCGGAAAGTGCCTCGTTGGAAAACAAACGTCTGAGAATCCTCACTCGTGCCCGGAGAAGCCATTCCTAAGACTTCAGCACCGCGAGCAAGAGTAATTGCTGCGTCCTGAGAATCCTCCATCGTACCAAAACGCCAGACGTGGGACTTCAACACGGAGACTATGTGAGTGCTGCGTCCTGACAATGCTGAATCGTACAGGAACACAATTCGCGGGACTTCCACCATACGAACTATTCAACTTTTGCAGACAGTTTGAGTTGAGTGTGCGCGACGCGAACGCGGGAACCACGGTTCGACAGGAGCCACGTTGTGAAAACTCCCCGCCCTCCATCGTTGAACCTGTTGCAAATTTCTAAAGCGAGTGTGCGTGGCGCTAAGACGAGACCTTCATTTTGAAAACGGTCCGCCCTCCACAATTGAAGCGGCTGAAAGCTTGTAAGACGAATGTGTGTGGCTGAAGCGAGAACGCGATTTTGAAATCCACCCGCCCTCCATACGTGAAGCTGTTGCAGATCTCGAACTGAAAATTCATAGTGGAAAGGGGGTCTCAGACGTAACGCCTGGCCCGACAAGCCGACACGTGTTCGTGTGCGACAGGGAGGAGCTGTTTGCAAGGACGAGGGTAGGTGGAGGAGGGGAAGGGTGAGCAGTTCGTTTTGTTTCCAAAGCTTTCATGATTTTGAAGAAGGAGGAGGAAGAACATGGCGAGGTGGCGGAGAAGGATCAGGAAAAGAAAGTGGATTAATTAAAAAATGAAACGCATTTCACGGGCGCTGGCCTTGGGAACAGTCGGCGTCGTGTTTAAACTAGGCCCCCCCCCAAAAAACATTCGGCGCTGTCGAACAGAACCAGGGGGACTCTCCTCCCCTCTCCCCCCCTCCCCGACCCCCCCCGACCCCGGCGCCCCCCCTGGCGCCGGCCCCAGCGCGCTGGCGGCGGCGACGGTGGTGGCGGCGGCGGCGGCGGCTGGCAGCGCCGACGCCCACACCCGCGCCCACACCCACACCCACGCCCACGCCCACGCCCACGCCCACACCCACGCCCAGGCCCAGGCCCACACCCGCGCTCACGCCCACGCCGACGCAAACGTTCAAACGCACGCCCCACCCGCGCCCACGCCCACGCCCGCGCCCACGCCCACGCCAACGCCCGCGTCCACGCCCACGCCCAGGCCCAGGCCCAGGCCCACGCCCACGCTGACAAGCACGCCCACGCCCACACCCGCGCCCACGCCCGCGCCCACGCACACATCCACGCCCACGCCCAGGCCCACGCCCACGGATACGCCGACGCCCACGCCCACGCCCACGCCCACGAAATGCGCTCTGTCCTATGTAACCGCGCTGCCAGGCCTGCGAGCGGGCTGCCACGGAACAGTCGGGTGCGGCTAGGAGCAGCCAGTGGGGTGCCACCCACGGCGAGGGGCGCACCCCAACTCGCAACCTGTCTGGAGGAGGAGGAGGACGACGACGAGGAGAAGAAGGAGGAGGAAGAGGAGGAGAGGAGAGGAGGAGGAGGAGGAGGAGGAGGAGGAGGAGGAGGAGGAGGAGGAGGAGGAGGAGGAGGGGAGGAGGAGGAGGGAGGGAGGGAGGAGGGAGGAGGAGGAGAGGAGAGGAGGAGGAGGAGGAGGAGGAGGAGGAGGAGGGAGGAGGGAGGAGGAGGAGAGGGAGGAGGAGGAGAGGAGAGGAGAGGAGAGGAGAGGAGAGGAGAGGAGAGCAAGGAGGAGGAGGAGGAGGAGGAGGAGAGGAAGGAGGAGGACGGAGAGGGGAAAGAGGCGGGAGGAGGGGAGGGCAGAACGTGGGGAGAACGGTCGAGGGGAGGGGGCGGGGCGAGCAGGAGAAGAGGACGCGTAGGCCAAGACAGCAACACAGCACCCCGGAAGACAGTGCATTGTCGGCTGGCGCATCTCATCCGGATGGCCCGCATAAGTATCCAAAACAGGCCCCCTAACCTCTCGGAGGGAACCTAAGTTAGGAGGGCCGAACACATTAGGGGTACATAAAGGGGGTCTGATTGTTCTGCAGATGTGCGGAACCAGCCCACCCAAAAACATTCTTTAGAAAACAGAAGCGGAGACCACATTGCGACCACGGTTTTCACCATGTTGTCAAATATTCAAGGTTGGGGATCCTTTGATCCTCGATGACCGCGGGCCGCTTCTCCGCTGGGCCGACGCATCTCGGCCTGGCGACGTCCACCAAACCCTCACCAGACCAAGAGGCGGCGCTCCTTCCAGTGGCCGAGCCGGATGGCCATCGCGCAACCACAACGATCATCAACGAAAGGAACCCGAACCATTTGGGAGAGGACCTGAGCTGAGAGGCCCAAGACATTAGGGATAGGGGGTCTTTGCTGCAGATGTATCAAGCCGGACGGCCCATAATCATCATCTCTGTCCTTGGGGTGCGCTGTGGAAAGAAGCTCGAAGGGAATCCCGCGTGGAGACGGGACCCCCAGCCCCCCAAAAAGCAGAGATCGTCCCAAAACCTCAATCCTCGAACCTCGCTCTGAGTCAAGGACGGCGACCTAAGCGAGGCCACGCCTCAATTATGCAATTAGGGCTGGGGGGCCATTGTGGTTCTCGAGGGCACGAGGAGTCGCACATCAACAGCACCCGGGCTGGTCTCTGGCCACGGCTGGCCTCGGCCATGACGAGGTTATTTTCCCCCTCCTCCTCCTCCTTTTCCTCCTCCTCCTCCTCCTCCTCTCCTCCTTTTCCTCCTCCTTTTCCTCCTCCTCCTCCTCCTCCTTTTCCTCCTCCTCCCCTCCTCTCCTCCTTTTCCTCCTCCTCCTCCTCCTCCCCCTCCCGAACCCAAACAAATCCGGACTTCAACGTCTTGACTGTCTCCAAGGGGCTGCACGATCCGTGCCGGCCCGTTCGTTTCGCATGCCCGCAGCCCCATTCGGAGAGCTGGCCATCGCTCGGACGTCCATTCCCTGGGCATGTTTCGATGTCGTGCGCGTCTTTTTTTCGCAAGGTGATCCAAGATGCTCCTCGATGGTTCTCGCAAAGAGAAGTGCACACGTCCGAGCGATGCCAAGAACGGGAGGAGGGGAGTGGGAGGAGGGCCTGCGTCCCCGTGCAGAGGGGAGCCAGGAGGCCCGATGTTGAGGTCAACATGCCCAAGCTGGGTGAAAGAAAGCATCCTCTCGTCGTCCGCCTCCAGGAGGTGCATGATGTAGAATGAATTGCCCCCCGTCGCCATGTCCGTTCGGCTGAATATCTCACTGTACACCCGACGCTCGCTCCTCTCGACGAGGACGTGCGCCTTCTCAACTAGCTCGCCTCGCAAGCGGGCTTCGGGCTGGACTAGACTATGTCCAGTTGACTCAAGGTCAGCGACACTACACCACCAGAGTATGAACGCAGTGCGGGTGACCTCCTGACAAGAAATCCGCCACCATGCCCCCAGGCACGTTGAGGCGTGGTAGACTGTCAAGCGATGGACGATACCTCAAAAAAAACGGGTCGTACGGGAGGTGGCACAGCGACCCTACGCCGCAATTTGCACGGGCCGCCAGCGCGGCACGCTGTTGGAAACGAGGGCTCACGCGCAACCTTGCGCGGGCAGGTGACGCGCGAATGTCGGCACAGACGGCCCCGTGCTTTTGCGCCGCCCAGGTGCTGTCTGGTGGGGTCTCGCAATCAGTCTTGTGAGCTCCGCCCCTCGAGGTTCCCCCCCCCCGGACCCTCTCGACGCGCTTGCTTGCTCGCGTGCATCCACCATCCGGTGCTCGAAGGGTCGACACACAGTGATTCGCTGGCACGGTGGCAATCTGTCGCAGGCACCTGGATGTAGAAAGGGGAGAGTGCAGAGAGAAAGAGAGAGAGAGAGAGCGAGAAAGATAAACAAACAAGAGCAAACAACACACAAGACAACATACACATATGCAGATGTGTGCAGATGTATGTGCATACGTATACAACATGATATAGCAAAACGTATCCACGTATGTATACCTAGAGTGCGGATATATATATATATATATATGTATACCGATATGTATATATACATACATGCATATATATATATATATATATATATATATATATATATATCGATAGAGAGACACACACAACAATACATTTATATACATATGTATATACATATATAGAGAGAAAGAGACAGAGAGGGATAGCGACATCGGCCAGGGAATGGTGCAACTTCCAATTGAGCCGACGATGACGGCAACAATCAGACATGAATCCAGAAGGTACCGGTGGCTTCTGATTACACATGCTGCTCCGTGAACAATGACAAGCGACATGGATTTATATGACCCTGCACGGAGCGGCTCGTCTCAAGGAACGCAATTATTCCATCTACTATCGAAGAGGCCCAAAGACTTGACCCATTCCCGTCACAACTCAACTGCCTTGTGCAACCCACGCAGCTCCGCATCGAACGCCGATACCGTCTCCGTTTCAGCTCGGCTCCAGAGGCAAGCCAGCACTCTCTCTGGATGCCGACATTGTGACCCCTGTGGCCGACCAACTGGACTCCATCTGGGGAAACCACAAGGTACCAATACCGCCACTCCCCGGACCTCTCCTGGGGCGCGTTCTGACCAGGATTTCGGGGCGAACCCAGCGGTGGCGACGAGGGCCCCCTAGGAGGCCCCAATAGGGGAAAACGAGGAAAGGGCAGAGGCATTGGTACCTCTTCCTCCTCCGACCATCTTCAAGGGGCCCTGGGACACACAAATAAATACACACAAGTAACAGGATTCCCCACATTTTCCTATATTTTCTGGGTTCTTGTCCTCCCCCCCACTTCCAATTTTTTCCCATACGTTCCTGGGGATCGACGATTAATTGTGTCTGTGTGTTTCTTCCTCCTCAGACCATCTGCCCCGCCTCTGCCGACAGCGGGCTGGCAGCGCGCCGTGCGCCAGGAGCGGGCGGACACGCTCGGAGCGAGCTCCGCGGCAGCAGGCCGGCAGCAACGCTGAGGGCGCAAGGCGCTCCCAGAGCGAGGCGGCAGGCTCGGAGTGAGCTCCCTGACGACAACGCTGGCAGCTCGACGGGCGATGGCCTTCTGTTGCATCTTCGGGGGACCTTGCCTGTCCCATCGTGCCCCGATCTGCCTATCCGCATCGAATCCGTGTCGAACCCATGTCGGACTCGTCGAATCCGCGTCGAGTCCACATCGAATCCACGCCGAGTCCGCGTCGAGTCCGCATCGAGCCCGCGTCTGGCACAAGGGAAGGTACCAATTCTGGAGACGGACGAGGCCCCCCGAAGATGCAGCCTGGCTGGCCGTCGGCCGGCACGCTCGGGATCGGCCTCCTGGCAGCAGCGCTGGCAGCGCGATGCGCGATGAGCAAGCAGGCACGCTCAGAGCGAACCTCCTCGGGCAACGATGGCTGCGCGCCGACCGGAATGCTCGGAGAGCCCCCTGCCGGTCCTGGCAGCAGCGCCGGCAGCGCGACGTGCTCGGGGCGTCCTGAGCGATCTTCCGCCGACTGCGCTGCGATGTGCGGCGGGCGCGAGCCCGCGCGCTAAGAGTGGGCTTCCTGACAGCAGCGCGGGCAACGCGATGTTCACCGGACGCGAGCTGGCAAGCTCGGAGAGCGCTTCCTGGCAGCAGCACTGGAAGCAACGCTGGCAACGCGACGTGCGCCGCAGGCCTGCGGGCACGCTCTGAGGGCGCTTCCTGCTGACGGCGCTGGCAACGCGACTTGCGTCAGACAAAGACGCTCGGAGTGGGCTCCTTTCGCTGGCAGCAAGCTGGCACGCTCGGAGCTGACTCCCTGCCACTAGTAATGGCAACAACGCTGGCAGCGACGATGTGCGCCAGACAAGAATCGGCAAGCTCGAAGTGTGCTTCCTGCTGACAGCACTGGCACAACGATGTGCGCCAGACGCAAGCCAGCACGCTCGAGTAGCACGCTTGAGCATCCTACTAACAACGCTGATAGTGCGCAAAATGAACCAGAAGCGAGCTGGCACGCTCGCGAAGCTCACCAAAGGCACGCGGGAGGTACACTGTCCTGGGGCACCTGCAGTGAGGACACTACTTCGGCACACAGTCAGAACCCTTCTTTCTCGCATAACTCAGCGCTAGTGTGATGAGAGCGACTTTGGCTAATCGCTCAAGGCTCATGGCTGCAATGGTTATTGCGTCGATCACACATCCGCTTCTTTCTGGTACCTGCTCATTCTTCATTACATGCGATTTCATCCTGCACATCTTGCTCCATTATCCCCCCCTCGTTGCATCTCTCTTCTATCCGCCATGCCTGGACCTCGTCTGGACACCTAAGCGAAATATTTGCAAAAGGCGGCTGGGCCGTATACGGGTTCAACTGCAGTGCGGTTGTTGGACGAAAGGCCAACGCAGGAATGACAATGAGCCCAATGATGCAAGTGATGATGATGCTCATGATGATGCTGATGATGTTGATGATGATGATGATGAGGAGGAGGAGGAGGAGGAGGAGTTCAGGAAAGGCCATATCTCGCGAGGCGTGGCGTGCAGGGCGACGCGGTCTAAAGCTACAGCATCTTGGGCACGCGTCACACTGTAAACTCACTGACGGGCACGTCAATCATCTTCAAACTTACTAGCTGCGCCTTCAACGCCTCATACTCAGCGGCATCCAGATCACGCTTCGGTAGCCGTGAGGGGCCGACGTCCATTCCAGACATCTTGATGATGTTCTTCTGTACATTCTTCCCCTGGGATTCGAACTGGCCGAACAGGGAGCACAGCCTGGCGTTTTCGGCCTGCTTCGCCCAAGCAAGGGCTTTGTCACCCGACTGATAGGCCTGAATTGCCTCGCGTAACGACGGCGCGTAATTCACAGTCGAGGAAACAGCAGCATCCGCGCCCAAGTCGAACGCGGCCAACGCCTGCTCGTCGCGGCCAAACAACATGTTGTACTTGCCATTCTTCACCTGCTTGCACAAGGAGAAGTCCATAAGGCCCGCCACCACGCCTTGGCGCGGCTGGTGTGTGAATCTACACGTGTTTGTTTGTGTGTGTATGTGTGTGTGTGCGTGTCGGCGCTAGCGCTGCCCGGGTCTCCCCTCCCCAGCAAGGTACCGTCTCTCGTCTTTCCCTCTGCCTCCTTGCGGCTGTAAGCCGTGCGCTCTGGTCGAGCGCACGCGCGCCGTTCTCCGTCGCCTGCCTTCCGCCTGGCGGGACCCTCCCCCAACAGTCCGTTGCTCTCTCGCCGTCCTTCGTCCCTCTGTCGCATCGGCCACCACTGCCCGGGTGGCCCATGGCGCAGGGTTTCCCGCTTCGGAGGGCCTGGCGCGCGCGAGGCCTGCGCGCGGGGGAGCATGACTTTCTACGCCTAGTCGCTGCGCGCGATGCCGCGACCGCTCAGAAGTCTATGTGAATGTGTGCGTGCGTGTGCGCGCGCGGGTGTGTGTGTGTGTGGAGGTGTGTGTGTTTGTGTGTTTGTGTGTGTGTGTGAGTGTGTTTGTGCGTGCGTGCGTGCGTGCGTGCGTGTGTGTGTGTGTGTGAACGTGAAATACGGCTTGCGAATCACCATATTGGCATCAAACGGGCTCTAACCCGTCCTGCCGCCGTGCATGGGCAATGTCTGTTCCACGGCCGCATCCTGACACACCCCGGCCTGGCAGCAATACTGAAGAGGAGGACTGATGAGGAGGAAGAGGAGGGGGATGAGGAATCATTGACTCTGGAGCTCACCCTCAATGAGGGACCTTGTATGTTGGGTGGGCGGATGGTTGTCAGGATCTTCATCAGGCTACGGTGGAAGAAGATAACGCGCGAGTCGACCGCTGAGGGCGTGTTGACTGCCAGAGCTATGCTTCAAACATGACGTCAGTGGTCAACCACAGCCTAATATGGGACGCACAGAGACATACTAATACTACATGTCCTCCTCAGAGGCGCGCGTCCGACCCGAACATATAGTATACCCATGGTGTAGTATATCGCTTCCCGAGCGGTGTGGCCAGAAAGCGCCCGCCACGACGCATATACTACAAGATTTCTCGGTGCGCGCGGCGCCCCTGGGAGGGCGACGGACATATAGTATAAGTATGTTGGGGTGATGCCGATAATAAATGCAGCAGTTAGTTTTCGTTACACTGATCTTCGCTCCAAGCTCGCACTAGTAAAGCACTTGCAGAGTAGCGCCCTTTCTTCTGATCATGTATCATAGGCTCTATAGCTTACCCTCGGTGCGGATCCTTGTACATTGGGTGGGTGATGGTGGTTTTGAAACGGGGAGAGTGGGTCAAAGTCCTCGAGCCCGTGTTTACTCGCATCTTCGTTCGACGTATCCAGCGTCACTCGCCTGTTCAACATTCTTTTCAGCACGATTGCAGCCAGCCATATTGGTTGATGTTGTTGCAGCCGTCCCTATAAGAGTTCGAATGTCAGACATTGAGAGGATGAGGAGGAGGAGGAGGAAGAGGAGGAGGAGGATGTGGAGGAGGAGGAAGAGAAGGGAAAGTAGGAGGAGGACGAGGAGGAGAAGGAGGAGAAGGATGAGGGGGAGGGGGGGGAGGAGGAGCTCGCAGATCTCTGTAGAGGCACCGCAGCCCTCCAAGACAGCTCGGCGATTTGGCACAGCGCCCCAAAACTAGCCCCTCACAGCCCCCAAGCGGGCCCCAAACATCCCCCAAGCGGCCCCCAAGCAGCCCCCAAACTAGCCCCAAGCAGCCTCTACGATTAAGTCGGCCGTGTCCTTCTACCGGAGGAAGACCACGTGTCTCACTGGGCTGTTCACCAGGATAGCCTCTTTACGACGCGCCCGACGACCACCAAACCCACGACGGAACGCACCTGCCATGGGGTGCCACGGTCCAAGGGTCACAGACCAAGGACAACCTCGAAGTTTCGCTGCTGATTTCTCCTCGCGGGCAATGGCAAACCTCCCTGGGCGAAAGACCAGCGCCCAACGGCTGACAAACTCGTGCTCGTCGACTTCGCCGACATCGGCATCAACATCGGCGGCGCAAGATTAAAGAGCAGGTCGCCAGCTCTTCTCTGGTTGTCCAGACCACCAACGATGGCTGGGGCCTTGACGCCGCGTGGCTGACGTGGGCCACCACCAACGACTAGCTTCCTGGCTGATGGGTCTGCCCCACAGCTGACTGCCCCCTTGCGGCATGCCACTTCTGCGCCCGACACTTCTGGTTCTCCCAGCAGCATGGCCGCACAGTGCCCCGCTGCGAGTGGTGCATGCGCCAACGGTGGATCATGGGGTCGTCCGCTAAACAACGCCACGCTGTGGGCGCCAACAGCCGGGTCTGCAACTGCGCCTCGGTCGACAGGGCCATCGCCTGCGGCCGCAACGTCCAAGCACTCCTCCGAGATTTCGACTCGCGGGAACCTAAGGGCACAGCGCCGCATCACGGTGTCCGACCAGGAGCTTACCAAAGCTCGGCCAACAAAGGACCGCTGCTACCCGCGGGCCCACCATGGCGCCTCCCTGTAAACTGAAGCAGAGCAACCTGAGGCTGATGCGGAGCCACCAAGCAACGCGGATTTCAAGAGGCCACCAGGCCTCGAAACTGAACCCCACCGACCGCCAAAAATGACGCCTTTCTCTTATGAGAACGCCGATTCGAACACGCTCGCCCGAAATTCAAGGAGGCTGGCATCGTAAAGTTCTACCCTGGCGTGGGCCTCCTCAGCTCCAGCACCAGGCAGCCTGCCTGCAGCCCATTTCAGCAAGTCGTCTCAGGCTCCACAAAGGAGATTCGGCGAACAGTTCTGGTCCAACGTGTGATGATACCAACCGCCAGAAGACTTCACCGAGACGCCACCAGGTTGTCAGACGTCGGGCTCACATGGAGAAACACAGTCCTCCACTCACAATCGCTGATCATCAAGTTCTCTCGGAATCCCACAATGGCAAGGGAATCGCGACGCAGCGCGAGCGGCAGTCGAGGCCACCTGCTCAGGTAACCCATCAAACGGCAGCGGCTGCGGCACGGAGGCGGCCAGAAGTCGCAAGCTCCACCATCGCCAGCAACGACAGGCAGTCTGGCCAATCAGCACTCCTGCCCACCAAAAAAAATGCCAGCTGGGCCAGGCGACCCAGGCCAGACAGCTGCCCCCGTCACCAAGGATAACAGGCGCAACGGCCAGTGGCTACGCCGAACGAAGGGCCCACCCTGCAGGTGCCAGAGAGCAGCGAGGACAACAGGCCAAGCTGCCAGAGGCCACACCGAACGAATAAACCACCCTACAGGCATTTCCGTCGCAGCGGCACCCAGCGCTAGACCTGCCTTGGCCAAGTCTTGCCCGCAGCTCCCGGACCAGCATTCGCAGCATCTCGGACCTCGGGCGGTACCGGCCGGCCAACCGCCGCGGAGGAAGGGGCCGCCTGTCCCGACGGCGCCACCCAAGCGTGAGAATGCAGGCCACCACTTTGGACGCCCGAACTGGGTGCGGAAATCATGGGTACAATGCCCAACAACAAATGTTGCCCCAAACCAACAGCGGCCGCTGTTGGGCAGGCGGCCTTCTGTGTCGAATTGACACAGCCCGCGGCGGCGTGGACAGCGAGTCCTGTTCAAGATGAACAAGCACTGCTGCTGGGCATTGTACCCATTCTCTCCGTACCCATTTCGCTCGTGCCGAACCACCTTCCGAAAATCGGGGGCGACGTGGCTGAGCCCGGCACGCGCAGCGAGCCGCGCGGGACCAGCCATGGCACGGGGCGGCAGCACCACCGCTCCAGCCAGTGAAGGACCCAGTTCTGCTGCCCACGCGAGCGGCGGAAGCTGCGCCACCCCGGGGCCCTGCAGCCCGGCCGTCGCCGCAACGAGGGCCCGCTGCCCTGGAAGGGGCGCGCCAGAGCTGCCAACAGCCCCGCTGGCAACAGCCGCGCCAGGTTCTCCAGGAACCGTCTCGGGCGCTCCACCCAGTGCCCAGGGCGAGACACACCCTGCCGCGTGTGACCGCGCCGGACCGGGCGCTCGATCCACGGCAGCCGGTCATGGTGGCGCGCGCGCGCGCTGCTGCGCAAGAAGGTGCGCCCGTCGACGCCTCCGACGACGATTCCACCGTCTCGGCCCTCCCACGCGGAGGGCTGGAGGCTGCTACCCCCGTGCCTTGTCCGAAGGCCACCGGGCGGTGAGTCCTGCGCCCGCGGCGAAGACCTTGACTGGGACCGATGACAGCCAGGGTCGGAGGGCCCGGACAGACTGCGTGCTCATTGACGCCGAAGGCAGACAACTAGTCACCAACGTTGTCCCCGTCCGCGATTTTCCTGCCAAGCGGGGATTGGGCATGGTGGTAACTACCTCTCTCTCTGGCTCTCTGCCTCTCTCTCTCTCTCTCTCGGTTGTTTTGCTGTTCCTTCTTCACTTCTTCATTGTTTTCATATCTCTCTCTCTCTCCATTTATCTCCCTCTCTCTCTCGACCTGGGCGTCGCGAGGTAACTGGCGAGAAGACTCGAGGCGGATATAACATAACCATTGGCCTATCAAGCCTTCGACCGCAATGAAGGGCGCGCCCTCGGCGGCGACTCCGCCGAGCATGTGAATCGCGCTCAAATGGGCGCGGCCAACGCCGCCGACGACGTTGACAATCAGGTCGATCTCGCCAATCAAGCGACGCACGAGCATCGCAACGAACCGCGCGCCAGAAGCCCGCCGCAATAACGCAACAAGCCAACCGCCAGCCACGGCGCATCGCCCATCTTCCGAGACGGCAGCGCGGCCCCACTGGAGAGCCCAATGCACGGCGCGACCAGCCAAGCTGCAGACGCACTGGGCAGATTTTCAAGGTGAACCAAATCGGATCCAGAATTAACAACAAAAAAAAACTTAGCTGCGGACCGCCAGCCCGCGGGCCACCGCCGCGCAAGCCCTTCAAACCTCTGGGACCACATCAATTCAGGAACGAAAAAACACACAGACACAATTAATCGTCGATTCCCCAGAAAATATGGAACCATATGGGAAGTGGGGGGGAAGACAAAAAACCAGAACATACGGGAAAAG